TGTACTCTTGGGGTGTTAATTTTGCATCTGGAACGACCCGTTTTAGATGCAAAATTAACACACCAAGAGTGCATCCAGAACGGTCCGTTCTAGTTTCAGAACGGGCCGTTCTGGTTCCAGGTATTTTCAAAAAAATTGGCATCCACCTATGCATCTACGTGACATCCACGTGGCCAACAGTTAACACCGTTAAAGAAATTTGGACGGAAGTCCCACATTGAAACCAATTAATTTATTAGGGACCTAATTGAAACCAGTTAATTAATTTGGGACCAAATTGAAACCGAAAATAAAAGTGTGACTAAATTGAAACAAACAATTATTATAAATGACCAAAATAGGTTTTTAGCCTATTTAAAAACAATTTACAACACTGGTAATCTAACAACACTATCATCATTATCATACTTGTTCAACATACAACGTACAACACATAAACAACACATATATAGGAAAATAACTTACAACACTAGCAACTTAACATCAGTATCATCATCAAATAGTTCAACATACAACACATGCAACTTAACATCACTGTCATCATTTTTATCAACTTGTTCAACATACAATACATAATACTAAAACAACATATGAATGTAAAAGCAACCTGCAACACAACGTCACTACCAACAATAATAGCTTATTCATCATGCAACACACAACACATAGACAACATACATCTCAACAGAACCTTCACAACAAGTCAACACATACAACTCATATCATCACAATATCAACTCATCAACACATGTGGTTGTGCACAACGTTCGTAGCAGGCTAGAGGCGTGACTCTTGAGCAGCAAAGGCGTGACCGTGATCGACAAAGAAGAAGAAGAATGGAGCGAGAGAGATGAAGAAGAATGGAGCGAGAGAGATGAAGAAGAATGGAACGAGAGAGAGGGGGATTATGTTGTTCAGGGTTACGTTTCTGATGAGAGGGGAAGGAACATTTAACTTTTGGGGAAATTTTTAACCTACCTGCGGCGGTTCTATAATAACCGCCCCAAAAAAA